AGGAGACAAAGGAAGAGATTCCTTGGGGCAGGAGGGTCTCAAGCCCTCAACCCAGAACCAGGTGGGTGGATCCCAGTCTCAGGGCTTCTGTTCCACCTGTGGGTCCAGCAGCCACACCAGGATGTTGCAGTCAGATTCCTCCACCTCCACTTGGGCACTCGCTGCCCCAAGCTGGGGCACCGGGTAGGAATACACACCCATGCCCACACACGCCCACACGGGTGTGCGCCCGTGTATACACACACACACACACACACACACACACACACACACACAGCCCCAAAGCCGGGAGAAGCGGAGCAATAGTTGCCTTAGGCAGAGATGCTTTATTTACCTCAAAATTATCCCCCAGAGGAAATTTTTCTTTAACACTCTAAGTTTAAGTAATCATGCCCCTTCTTGAAGACGAAAACATGCCCAAGAGGCTTCGTTGGAAATCCTTCGGTCAAGCAGGCCAGCTGGTTCCCAAGGCTCCTTGGGTGGCCTGACGCCATCACTGTTCTTAAAGCCTTCCAGAACTTCAGGAAGAACCTCCAACTCCAGAACCTCTCGTTTTACAGATGGGAAGATTGACGCTTAGACCAGACAAGGGTCTGCCTCACGTCCTCCAGCATCAGTGGCAGAGCTGGGACTGAGGTTCCAGGGCCCACCCCCACCCCCACCCCGTCTGCTCCTCTTTCTCCCCATGGCTCACTGCCATCCTACCACCAAGGCTGTGCCTGTGAGGGGGAGCTGGGCGCCACCTCTAGACACCAGACAGCGTAGCTGAGGCATGACGACCTGACCTGGCTCTTCACCTGGAAATCCACCTGACAGCACAGAGCCCAGGCACATCTGGGCCTCAGGGCCAACCATCACCTCACCTCCCCTGGGCCAAGTCTGCCGAAGCCCTGGGCTTCCTGCCCTGGACCAAAGAGAACCTCCACGTGCCTTTGCCTCGGGTCTACATGATGTCCATCAGCCTGGCAACTGAGATTCTTTTCCTGCTGATCAAAAGTCTCGACTGGCAGTTAAATACATCTTCTTTTTTAAAAAAGATGAAAACATGACTACTTGCCCAGATGGCATGGCTCAGTGGTTGAGCATCGACCTATGAACCAGGAGGTCATGGTTTGATTCCTGGTCAGGGCACATGCCTGGGTTGCGGGCTTGATCCCCAGGCCGGGGCGTGCAGGATGCAGCCGATCAATGAATCTCTGTCATCGTTGATGTTTCTCTCTCTCTCCCTCTTTCTTCCTCTCTCTGAAGTCAATAAAAATATATTCAAATAATAATAATAATGGCTACTTAATACAAGTAGCCAGGGTGGGCAAAGTCTTTCTGGACACGGGTGCTCCAAGAAAGATAAACAAAAGCATCTGAGGGCTAAAAAGTAGCTGCAGGGGCGGTTGCTTTCTGCCGGCACTCGAGGTACACCAGGACGGGGTGGGCGAAGGTCAGGAGAGTGGCCAGCACCAGCATCACGTTCACCTGGAGGGGGAGGGGCGGAGTGAGGCGGAGCCCAGGACTGAGCAGCACCCACCACCAGCAAAGGGACCAGAATTCTGCCTGGTTCCTCTTCCACTGTCCACTCAGGCAGCTGAGTGCCTCAAGGAAAGACTAGTGGGTGCTTTTCATTCTGCCCTGTGGAGTGAGCTGGGGAAAGGGTCTTATGCCCATTTCACAGGTGAAGAAACAGAGGCCTCCAGAGCAGCCAGTGACCTGCGCAAGGTCACATGGGAAGTGGGTGGAGGCCCCAGCTAAACACACCTCTCCTGACTATTAAGTGAGGGTCGTCCAATGTCAATCTAGCAGTTCTCCTCGGTTGTAGCTTCAGTCCTTTCTTTTTCTCCCAACAACTGATTGGAACTCTCGTTCTACACTTTGCTGACCTTTTAAATGCGGTTGATAGAGCTGTGCGGTGGTCAGGGCACTCTCAGGTTTGGGGGTGCCCCCTTCTGGGGTCCCACAGAGTTGCCCCAGGCTGAAAATCCTTGCTGGTCAAAGGCCAGGACCCCTGCTGTCCCCAGGGTACTCACGTAGAACGGGTTGTTCTGGAGGGGGCCTTTGATGCACATGAAGATGGGGAACTGCAGCAGAGACACAATGGCTGACAGAGCCATCACCAGCCCAAAGAGCTTTCCAAAGTGCTCCGAAGGGAAGCTGGGGAGACACAAGGGGGTTCCAGTGAGCTTCAGGGTCCCTCCCCCCAGTAGGGGCCTGGCCTTGGTGGGCCTTTGTCAGCCACTTGCTCCCGACTCCCCTGTCCTAGGCTTGCCTTCACCCACCCACCCCCACGCAGCCCTTCCCCCTCTGCCGTGGCTCAGCCTTTCAAACCACAGAACACAGAGAAGGCATTGTGCCGGGCCCTGGGAAACCAGCAGGGACCCAGACACAGGCTGTGCCCCGGGGAGGCCTCAAGGAAAGGACAGACACATCAACAGATCACTCTGCCAGACGATGCATGCACTGAGGAAGCAAGACTAGGTTGGGTGCCAAGAGCACAAAGAAAGAAACTTTCTTTCCTGGGAGAGTTGGAACAGAGGGCCCTGCCTGGTGAATAGGAGTTCACTGGTTAGATAACAGAGGCAGAGGGGAGAGCTGATGTGAAGGCTCCCACCAGCTCCCACCTCCAGGCATCAGCCCCTCTACCTGCTCCCAGACCCTGTCTCCCTCACCTGACCACCGCCAGGCCCATCCTCACCTCCTAATTTCTTACCTCCAGCACACTTCTTTTTCCCTCAGTGTGTCCCCCATTATGTAACGCACCCCAAGCCCACTTACGCAAGGGTGAGGAAAGCAGCGTTGCCCCCGTAGAGGAAGGAGCGGCTGATCACTTGTAGGACGAAGGTGCCATACTGGAGGGGGAGGACGGGGACCGAGGCACAGATGGCAAAGCCCAGGCACAGCAAAGATGTCAGGGCCAGCGAAGGCACCGCTGCGGAAAGGGCTGCGACTGAGGCTGAAGAACCTGGTTCAAAGGGGGAGAGGAGAGGCTGCCTGGAGGGGGCACCATGGAGGGCAGGGAGGGGGCGAGAAGATGGGGAGAAAAGGAGGAGCCACCATGCACCCAACCATCCAGGCCATTCTTGAATCCTCCTTCTCCCACATGCCCCATCTCCAATCCATCATCAATGTTGATAATCACCACTGAAATATCATTCAGATGTACCCGCTCCTCTCCATCCCCACTGGCGCTTTCTGGTCATAGGCCACCATCAACTCACTCATAGATTCTTACAATGACCTCTGACTGGGCCCCGAATCAGCTCTGGCCCCTCTAACCCAAAGCCAGTTTTTCTCAGTAGCACTACAGGTGATGGCCAAAGACTGGACACCATCCAAATAGCCACCAAGAGGGGAATGCCACATCGACTCCACTGCAGCCACACCGGAGAACCAGGCAGCAGCCCAAGGAATGAGGGCAGATCCCTGTGGAACGGGACAGGGGTGAGGAAAGAGTGAAGAAACCAAATGGAGTCACTGTGGTCAAGCTGACAAAAACCACCCTCTAAAACCGAGAGGATTGCGTCTACCGGTCACAGGTACTGGATTGGTAACGTTTCCACTGGCCAAAGACGGGACAATTCAGGCATCCAGAAGAATGCTGATAGAAATACATTCAAATATATTTAAAATGAAACTCTGAAAGACAAACAACGGGTAGTCACCCTAGAGGTTGCTAAGGCAACGTCATTATTATGAAATGCAAACAGAGGAACAACCAAGCATTTATTTCAGAATAACAAACAGATCATAAATAAGGAAAAGTTCCTCTTTCCTGGGGAATTCTAGCTATTAAAAGCGGGAGGGAAGCCAGAAATAGAAAATCGCCATTTTGTAACCCTAATACAATAATGGGTCCAGGCATTGATCCTCAATGGCGGCTAAAATCATTAGGCAGGCAGCTGATGGGAAACGTTATAATGGGCCATCGGACGGACATTGTCTGAACCCACTGATCAATCCTAACATCATAAGGCAGGGACAACGGTACCAGGGGCCCACTGCGCTCCAGCGCTGAATCATTCTCACCCAAAAATATTACACCAAGTCTTCTCAGCCTCCAATCTGCCTGTTTACAAGAAATACCCAATCAAAGAGACATTTTTTTTCAGTGACAGGAAAAAGATGCCAAATCCAAAACTGGGAGATTTGACAGGCCAAATGACCCGGTTTCTTCAACAATAAACAACAGGGTGGGGGAAAGGGAGAGCAGGGCACAGATTTTTAAAGACAGAAAAGGAACATCAAACAAAAATACATTGTGTGGGTAATATTATTATACGTAAAACCCGTTTATTCTTGAAATATTAATGTTTATTGCATGTAACATTATTATATGTAAGATTATTTTTCTTGAATAAAAAAATACACTTTGTGGACCCTAATTTGAACAAACCAACTATAAAAAGACCTATTTGAAACAACTGGGGAAATCTGAACAGAACTGCTTATTAGATGATAGTAAGAAACTACTGGGTGTTTGGGGGGGGATAATGATATTATGGGGATGTGTGAGTAAGAGAGGCCTCATTTGTTAGCGATATGAACTGAAGTGTTTACAGATAAAATGATTTGATGTCTGAAACTTGCTTTCACAGACTCCACCCAGCTGGGGTAGGAGAGGGGCAGTGCCAGGAAGTGGGGGAGGGGTGTAGAACAGTTACTCTACTTTAATCTCTCCCCACCCCCGACCTCCACGGGTTAATATACCTCAGTGCTCCTCTCTTCCTCCATCACATCCAAGGATCCTGTGCAAGCTCCTTGGCCTCGTGTGCTGCCTGCCCCTTCTTACTTCTCTCCCTCCAGCCCTTTCCCATCACTCTCCAGCACTCTGTGTCCTGGCAAGTCTGAATCACTTTCTGGAATTCCCCAGATTCTTCAATGTTTTGCTCTCTCCTTCACCATCTTAACCCCTCTACATTCTTGGGCCACTTCCAGGACCCTCCTCTTCACTCCTCACTTCTTACTCATCCTTCAGGTCCTGGCTCAGCTGCCACTTCCTCCAGGAAGCCTTCCCTGACACCAACTCCATCCTCTCCTGGACCAGGTTATGTGCCCTTCTTCGTGTCCCCATAGCCCCCTGCAGGTTTACTTCATGGACTGCAATGACTGACACTTGCCTTTCTCCAACCTCTAGACTGAGTACAGCTTGACAACAAGGTCGTATCTGCCTCGTCCATTGTTGCACCTGGAACTGTGGCTGGCTCATCATTGGCACTCAATGACTAGTGGGTGAGTGGATGGATGGATGGATTCAAGTACAAAAAGATTAAGAACAAAGAGAAGATGGGCATGGAGGTCAATGAAGACCTCTCCCCTCCTGCTCCTTGATCCTCGGGAGCCCAGTTCTCACCCGTCTTTCTCGCTTCCTTTTGGTACTTCTGCTTAAGCCGGTCCATGAGCAGCCCGTTCCAGGGAGCACACAGCATTCCAAAGAACTGAGTGATGGCAAAGGCATTTGTGTAGCTGCTGACTGCAGAGGACAGAGGGGGGTTGGGTGGTAAGAAATTTCCAGAACTTTCTTACAGGGAGGACTCTTCTCCCCCTGCCCTTACCCAGCCTGATCCTCCTACTCAGATCTCCCTCTGGAGCACATAGCCCCACTGAGCTTAGCACCCCACACCCTCGAGGTTCCAAGTCCCCAGTGGGATATGCAGTGGGCTGCCTCCCAGCCCTGCCACATACTCAGAGCCCTGTCCCCACTGGCCAAGTTGGTCAGCAGAGAGTTGAGGGTGCCAATGAAGAGGTAGTGCCACAACTGTATCACAGACAGCCACACCAGGTGCCAGGCAAAGCGCCGGGAGAAAACAGAGCTCTTGAAAGAACGGGGTTCATCCAGCTGCCCTGGTCCTGGGATCTCTGTCAGGAAAGGAGGGTCTGGCATGAATTACAAGGCAAGTGGAAGGCTGGGATGGCCAAGAATAGAGAGGCCCTATTGGGACAGCCTGAGGTCCAAGTTTGCCTTCTCTTCTGGCCTTCTAGAGCTCACCCGGCGAGCAGTCCAAGCTGCCTGCAACTCACACAACCCCACCTCTAAGCCTTTGTCATCAGCTCTACCACCTTGAATGACCCTCTCTTGTTCTCTGTCTGTTGAAATCTCATCTGTCTTTCATAGTTTGGATTCAACACCACTTTTTGCATTGACACTTTATATCAACCTTTCTCAGCCAGGGTGGTGAACAGAAAGACAAGGAGAGGAGAATGGTAGAGATGAGCGGAGGGTTAGTGGTCGACAGCTGCTATTTTGCCTGTTCCCCATCCCCCGCCCCCCCTTTTGTTTGGTCCCAGGATCCAGGTTTCTTCTGGAAATCTCTCCTGTCCTGTTCTTCGTGATCTGACAGGACCATGAATCCTGTGTTCTGTGCCTCACCCAAGGTGAACCAATCGATCATTCTTCCTGAAGAAGCAGACTGTGAGGTTGGACTAGGACCCCTGGTTCTGCTCTTCCTGGAGCCTGGCAAGGTCATTTTCCCTTGATTTTGTGAGCTTCCCAGAATCCTATTCTTGTTTCTACCTTAGCCAGCAGTGGTTGGTGATGTTTATACCAAAGACCCAAAACAGACAGAGGAGGGAAAAGAGGTGGCAATGGAGATGGGACAGTGAGAGAGGGCAGACCCAGGGGATCTGCAGAAATGGGGACAAATAAGCCAACTTGGGACTAAGAAGTTAGGGGGAAGGACGGCAATGATCGAAGACTGACTTTAGGGGAGAAAGGGAGATGAGGAGATGAGAAAAGAGGAACAGAAAAACGGAGAAGAAGCAAAAGTCTTGCGTCTCTCTGGACTCTCTGGATCCTAGGGTCCTTCTCCACCTGCCTTTCCTGACTCTGAGACCCGGGGAAGCTCTGGAGGTGAGGGGCCAGGTCAACTGCAGGGAAAGGCAGGCTCTGAAGGGGAAATGGCTTACCCAGCAGGGCTCACCTTCCTTTGGTGGCAGGAACTCCTTAGCCTGTAGGTCCAGCTCTTTGGAATTGGCTGTCTTCTTCTTCTCTCTGGTGCCAGTCCCAGAGCACAGGCTGTAGAAACAGAAGCCCCACCAGCCCAACAATTGTGAGCAGAGCCTGGGGTTCAGGCTGGAGGACACAGTGAAGTGGATCTCCAATGTCACTGCACATTGGAATCACCTTTCACCAACCCCAATGCCCAGGTCGCAGCCCAGGCCAGTGAAATCAGAATGCCTGGGCATGGAAGCCAGGCTTCCATATTTTTCAAAGATCTCCAAGTGATCACAGTGATTCTCATGTGCAGCAAAGTTCGGGAAGTGTGGGAAGAGTAAAACAGGCCTGGGTTCAAATCCCAGCTCTGCCTCTTCCTAGCTGGCAACATGGCTCATACTTAACCCTTTTGAGCTTCCATTTTCCCATTTGGAAAATGGAGAAGAGGATATATAACTGATAGGATGCTCGAGAGACCAAGTCAGAGAGCACAAGCGTCTGCAAACAGTAAGTGAGCGGCAAACGCGTGCCCTCCCTCTGCTGTTGGTGGTGATGGACTACAAACAGTCGCATTTTCCTTCACCTCCTCTGTTCCCCACCCTGTGCAATGGGACTGCAGCTCCAACTGTTCCCCACCCCTTGAGCCAGCCTTGGGCCAGCCTTGTCAGCAGCGTCAGCCAAGAAGACGAAGCAGACACAATGTTGTACCAATTCCAACTCTCCACTTTAGGAAACCCCTCTCGAACCCTGGAACCACCATGTGAACAAGCCCAAGCTAGCCTGCTGGAGGATGAGAGCCAGGTGACCCAGACCTCCCTGTCACCGTAAATGACCACCATCCAGACCAGCCAGCCCCCGGCTAGTCTACTGATCAGATGAACTAGCCAACTACCCACAGACTAATGAAAAAGAATAAATGCTTCATGTTTTAGACCACTGAGTTTGGGGGTTGTTTGTTATGCAGCAATAGCTAACCAATACACCCCTGTTCTAGTCTTCCTCTTCTGTGACAGGTTTCCTCTGCTCTACTATCACCATGTCTGTCCCACCCCCTCCTTCCTACCTCAGGTCACCTGAGAGGCTCTGGCCAGCAATCACCAGATCAACAGTTCTTACCCATAGCTGTAGTTGGGGGGCAGTGGGTAGGGGATGTGCCCCCGGGGCATCAGGAGGAAAGTACGCCCAACATGCCACACACTGCAGACAGAGAGGAAGATGAAGGAGGCCCTGAGGCTGATGCCCTTTTCATAAAGGAGCTGCAGAAAAAAGGAGGAAAAACTTAGTATAACACCCATGTTCACAGCAACAGTTTTCACAACATCCGAAAGGTGGAAGCACCCAAGTGTCCATCCACAAATGAATGGATAAATAAACTGTGGTTATACATACAATGGAATATTATTCAGCCTTAAAAAGAAAGAAAATTCTGCCACATGCTAAAACATGGATGAACCCTAAGGACACTATGCTAAGCAAAATAAGCCAGTCACAAAAGGACAAATACTATGTGATTCCACTTATATAAGGTACTTGGAGTAGCCAAATTCACAGGAACAGAAAACAGAATGGTGGTTGCCAGGAGCTGGTGGAGGGGGAGCAGGGAGTTATTGTTTAATGGGTTCAGAGTTTCAGTTTTACAAGGTTGAAAAGAGTTCTGGGGATGGATAGTGGTGATGGTTGTACAACAATATGAGATAACTTAATGCCACTGAACAGAACACTTAAAAATGGCTAAGATGGTAAATTTTATGTTATACATATTTTGTCATACAAAAAAAAATGTCAGTGTAAGAAGCAAGGGCAGCCCTGCTGGTGTGGCTTGGTGGTTGAGCATTGACCTATGAACCAGGAGGTCACAGTTTGATTCCCAGTCAGGGCACATGCCCCAGTTGCAGGCTGGATCCCCTGTAGGGGGCGTGCAGGAGGCAGTCAACCGATGTGCTCTCATCATTGATGTTTCTACCTCTCTCTCCCTCTTCCTTCCTCTTGGAAATCAATAAAAATATATTTTAAAAAGAGAAGAAGCAGCAAGGGCAGGGACCCCCATTTCCAAGAATAAGTCTTCTTGCCCTCCATCCTGGAAACTGACCAAGGGGACCTGATACACACATAGCCTCACCCTCACCCTGAGTCTCAACCAGCAGCAGAGGAAGCAACATGCCACCATTCCCACAGCCTTGTAGAGCCTCCAAGTGTGGCTTCTTGGGGGCCTTCTAACCCAGGGCTTTTTTTTTTCAATAGCAACAAAGTCTTTTTTGTCCAAACGAAAATTATACATAAAAATTCAACTCACGAAACACATCAGTAGAGAGCGTCCCAATCATTCTTCCCTCATTCTCCTTGGTGAACGGCATAACATCAAAGGGAGCCCTTCAATATTCCTCAACACTTAGTTTAAAGACCATTAATCTAGCCCAACTCCCTCATTTTACAGAGGGTAAAAGTGACATCCAGAGAGGAGCAATGAGTTGCTCAAGGTCAGAGTAAGCAGCAGCAAGGTCAGAGTGCACTAAGAACTCCAGCTCTTGCCGAAACCAGTTTGGCTCAGTGGATAGAGCGTCAGCCTGCAGACTGAAGGGTCCCGGGTTCGATTCCGGTCAAGGGCGTGTACCTGGGTTGCGGGCATATCCCCAGTGGGGGGTGTACAGGAGGCAGCTGATTGATGTTTCTCTCTCATCGATGTTTCTAACTCTCTATCCTCTCCCTTCCTCTCTGTAAAAAATCAATAAAATATATTTAAAAAAAAAAAAAAAGAACTCCAGCTCTTGCTCTGGCCCTTTCTCTTCTTCCAACTCTAAGGAGGGAGGAGGGGAAGGGAGGCACATCCAGGGGAAGGAGGGTCAACTCAGAAAGTGGCTCTTATACCAGAGGTAGGAAGGCTTGAGTAAGTACCCTAGAGACTCAGTCTTTAGGTGATCTTCAAGCCAAGGTGCTCATGGGACTAAGCTAGTCTCATGTCTGGGCAGTGACTCCCAGAGATCCTCCTAATCTTCCCCCATGGCCCACAGGCTTTGCCTCTAGCCTAACACAAAGCCCAAGGGAAGTCCCAGGTTGGCAGGTTGGGGTGTCAAAGACTCACACTCTCATTCTTTCCACTCACTCTTAGTGTACTAACTTTTGTCCTGCAGCTAGTTGCCTCATAATCACAGTATGGCTGCCACGATTCCAGCTATCACATCCGCATACAAAGAGGAAGGGTGGGAAGGGGACCAAGGAGAAAGGCTTTCTTTTTGCTCTGCTCTCACCTTCCATCAGAGAGGGAAGTATCCCCTTCATCTCATTAACTAAGACCATCTCTTCCCCCACTAATGGGGGGAAGGGATTGTCAGTGATTTAGATCAATCAAGATTCATCCCCTGGGCTTGGCACTTCACTGCCCAGATGAAATCATTAGCGCAGTGAAGAAGGTGGAATGGCTATTGGATGGGCCACAAATAGCCTGGCAACAACCCAACCCCAGCATTAGCCTCTAGGAGAGCTGGAGAGGCCTCTGTGCCTGCTCCCGCAGTCCCTCTAGCCACCTCCCACCTCCTTGTCCAAACAAGAGGCTCACAGGTGCAAACATCCCATTGCAAAGGGATCCCACCCTATGCCCAACACTGACCCAAGCACATCATAGCCATGCCTTCCCTTCGCTTCTGCCCAAAATACTATGTTAAGTTTTTAAAAAGGGGCTGAAGGGTTACAAGCTCAGGCTCTAGAACCACACAGGTCTGTTGACAAGCTCAAATGTCACATCTCAAGCTGCGGAAGGGATGATGGAGAGAAATCATGCAAAGTTTACTAGATAGATGTCTGGCATATGTAAGTGTTCAATAAAGCTTGGCTGGTGCTCATTTTTACCTTAATGATGAGAAAGACGGCCGAAGAAGAGTCAAACGCTCCATTGTAGAGGGTGATGATGGTCGAGCGGTGTTTGCCAAATAAGTTCCCAACCTGGAGAACATATGACCAGCCTGAGTCACCTACGTATTCATGGAAGCAACGTGCGCCCCGCCTGTGCCAGGCCATCATTATACCCCAGACCACCTTCCACCCAGCGGCCACCACCCTGGCACGGGCCAGCCCCCTGTTGAGGCAGCTGATGTGGAAAAGTGTTTCGATGCCCTCATCCCTCTCCAGCCTCCCGCCAGGTGCCCGGGATGTGGGCAGGATTCCACCTGCAGGTTGGTCATCAGAAATAGGATTCCCCCGACGGAAAGCATGGGCATGGCCAGGAAGAGCAGCATCGCTGAGCCTGAAACAATCGAAGACAGAGATGGGTGGGTTCACAGTGTGGCTCAAACACAGAGCCTCAAACTGGCTCCCACTTGCTTCAAATTCCCGACAGCCCTGGAGGCAAGGCCCCAATTCGACCCAGCCTTCTAGAAATAAGGTCTTAGGATACTGGTCTGGTGGGGACAGAGGGACCCTGCAGAGGTCTCCTGAATCACCTTAGTCCCCACCAAAGAGGGTCATTGGTCTGTGGCAGGATCTCTAAAAACATAGGAGGACTCAAAGTGAAGCCACTGCTCCCTGCCCTCACTGATCCAGAGCGACCCTCCACTCATCCCTGATACTGTGGGGTGAATCCTGGACTCCCCAAGCCCAGCCCCTCATTCACGGCATGACTTTGAGCGGGATTCTAAATCTATGGCTCAGTCACCTGCTCCTCCTGCCTCATGGGGTGCTGTAAGATCTCAGTGAGAAAATGGCTATGAGCTGTCCTTCCTTCATTCATTCAACTTTGAGCACTTCCTTCAAGCCAGGCATTGTGCTCGGCATTGGAAATGCAAGCTAAGTAAAGAATACTTCTTGCCCTTGAAAAGACTGACATGCAAAAAAAGAAAAAGTCATGACAGTAGGTCTGGAAAGTGTTGGACAACAGCAAAACAACTAAAATGCCGAGGGGGAAGGGTGGCTTAATAATTTAGTCTTTCCCAAACCACGAACTCCTGCCCACCCTCATGACTTTTGGCCATAACCCATGCCTGTCCTAGTGTGGCAGGATAGTAAGAAGCTAGGAACATTCCTGGGCAAGCGGAACGGGGAAACTGAGAAAAGAAAATTAAACAAGGTCAACCAGTTTGGGCAGCTTGCAGCCAGCCAGTGAATTGCAAGACTTGATCTTCCCTAATCAAGGACACTTAAAAACAAATGGTTTCTACCTCTCCTCCCTGACAGAGAATAAATAGCTTAAATCACCCTGGTCAGGGAGATAGAGAACAGAGTCCCAATTAATGCCAGCCAAACCCAAGGACAGATGAAGTCAGGGGAACAAATAACAAAGACTCGACTAGAGCCAGACAGGCTCAAGATAAAAGCAAAACAGTCAAGCTGACCAAAGAATAATCCCACACTCCCCTACATGCTCATTTTGATGCATCAGCATATTTAAAATGCACATGGAAAGCTGATGAATATTCTGCTGAAACCCTCCCCTAAGATTCTTGCCTGCAGGAGATAAAAACCCTCAAGACCAAGGATGCCAGCGCGGGATCTCACAGCAGCACGCCCTTGCCTTATCCCAGGCGTGAGCTTTTGTAGTTTCTTTCTCCTAAACTCTAAGGGTCCCCACAAGACTGCAACTAGGGGAGCAGTGGGCAACAGCAGCTCATCCCAGGCTCACCCCCTGAACCCATCTCCAAGGCCCCCTTTCTCTGACTTTTCAGTGAGCTGACAGCAGCCGGCCTTGATTCACTTCTTTCCTAAAATGCTTCTAGTGAGCAAAGCAGAGTCCCACCTAGGTTCTCTCCTGTGGCTTCTTCTACCTTAACCCCTTCCTTGTTTCACTGTCTCCAGCTTGAATAAAAGTACTCTCAAAGACACCTGGACTCAAGTTGTGAAAGCTTCCCTGCATGAAGTCAAGAACCCACACACTACCAGCTGGCCTGAGGCAGACCCACTCTTGGCCAGGTCCCCTCCAGTAACACTAGTA